TGGCAAACGTGAGGTCCTGCGTCTGATTCCTGGTACTCCCCCGACCCCACCCCTAAAAAAAGGAAAAGGGAAATTTTAGCATCCAAGGAGGATGGGTTTATATTTGTCTCTCCCTTGCTTATTCTTGTTCAGCAGAGAGCTTCAGCAGTGAGGTTTGGGGACCACCATGGACTGTATTTAGGGAGCCCTGATAATAGGTGTGTAGATACTGTATTTAACAAACAGGCTGCTTCTGTATAGCAGAAAGAATGGGAAGTTCTCCAAAAAGCAGATAAGCAGATGAATGGCTAACTATTTGTAAAAGGTATCTTCTGACAGTTCTCAGCAGATTACTTTTTTGGTGCATGATGAGTACTTTCTCCTTTATTTTCCTTCCATTTCACTTTTGCTTTCCCTTTCCAGTTCCTTTTGTGTTTCCCTTTCCTTCGTTTCTTTCATCTTCTCCCCACCTCATTTCTTCGGTTTCTTTTCCAGGAAAACTCATCCTGTCTTGGTTACTTTTCTTTAATTGCTGAGACAAAATACCTGATGCCCCAAATTAGGGAAGGGAAGGTTTATTTACCTTACAGTTTTTGGAGGTTTCAGTCCATAATCAGCTGGCTCCAAGGTAGGGTGGGATGGCACTGGGGCAACACTTCAAGGCTGCAGCCAGAGCAAAAAGGGGAAAATAAGCCTCTTCTCCCTTGTGTTGTATGCAGGCCACCCCCTCCCACCCCCAAGGCAGATGTAGCCCTCACAAAATCTCCTTGTCCTCCTTTGCACAGGATGAGGATATTAAGATCCGTGTGTCCTGACTGAGTCTCTCAGACTTCTAAACTGCTCAAATTGACACAATGTATCAATCATAACACATCCAAAACATTAATATTTTTTCAAACTCTAAAATGGGTGTTTATTGCATATCAGTGAATGAAATTAAAAACTTGTCATGCTCAGAGCTGTTTCATTTTTAAAAATCTTTTATTTCTGATGTGTCAAAAAGGAGAAGTTTAGGTCAGTGTAATCCAGTGAATATTGGTATGAATTGTATGCCTACCTGGTACTGCATTTTCTTCATGTATTTCAGACATTTACTGCTGCTGTGCATAGGGAGGTCTATGAGGACAAGGCCAATGAGGGAGACCAGTCATAACATGAGAGGAGGAGGTATTGGGGACCTGGCCAAGATCCCCAATCTCCAAAGTGAGAGTATGGCGAAGGCCTAAATAAATGAGACAAGTGATATGATTTTAGGGCTCCAGGAGGATCAAAACCCTCTAGCAGAGTTTGAGACTCTGGGGGCTGAGACAAGGAACGTCTCTGGGCATCTCGTATTTATTTAGTTTTTCAAACAGAGAAGGGGTTGGAGTGGGAAACGAAAGAAACTGAGCAGAACCTTGGGCGTGGTTTAAGGACTTTTCCAAATAACAGATTATATCAATTTAGAAGTATTTTAGGAGAAAGTCTTCAGGTTGACTTTCACTATAAGAGTAAAATGCCTACAGCTATAGTTTCTCTCTTGTTAATTGGAGTTGGAGCCAGGTGTCCTCAGCAGTGGCCTTAACTAGCCCTTTGAGGTGTCTCTTTGTTCTTGGGTTGGCCATCCCTTGACCATGCTGCAGCCTTGAGCATGGGTTCAATTTCCAGCTTCAACGGCTCCCAACAAGGAGGAGCTGACACTGGTCCCCACCTTAATCAGGAAGTTACTAGAACAGAGGAATGGGCTGATACAGGTGTGACACTTTCAGGGGAAAACGAAATTTAAGGTAAGCTTGGAAGGGGGCCACATGGACATGGACAGATAGCAGAGGGTGATGTATGGTTGGATGAAAGGTCAAGAAAATCCAAGTCATGGCTGCGGAGTGGGTAATGTATTAACGAGATAGAGATGCCAGCAAATAATTCATGCTGTTAATGCGCAGCAAAACCACTCATCTAGCACCTCGGGACATTTCTCCAGTGTAGCATGCTTAAATAGCCCTTTTCTGTGTATAAGAGCAGAGTTTCAGATCTCTAGAATGGAGAAGTGAGGCTAGAGAATTTTTAGCATCCGCTTCTAGTGCTTGAAGTTGCATAACTCCATATTAAAGATTCTGTCAAATGTTGAATTTTTGTTATAAAAACAGTAAACTGATTAAACTGATTCTAAAAGGGGGGTTGTGAGGGTAACTTTCAGCAGCTGGAAAAATACTGATTTATATTCTGAGTGAAATAGTTAATGTATGGTAACAAGAAGCACCTATCGTGCAAGACATTATGGACCACGACCTTCTCTGGGCTCCAAGAGCCATGGATAAGACAGGAAAGATAGAGGCACATCCTTCTGAAAGAACTGTAAGCACATCGTTAAACATCAGAGCATACCTCATTTTGTAGAACACGGTTGGTTCAGGTTTGTGGTGCTCTCCAAGAGATATCAGCATGTGATGAATTGCCTGTTTTATCAGGATGAAATTACCATGCAACATAAAAGACTTTGTTAAATACATCTTAGTCAACAGCCTAATCTTGTTACTGAGAAGGAAGTGTTGTCTTTGCTCATCCTTTTCTTAAGGCTTTGCTGTGTAAGATGCTTAGCCCCGTTCCTGTTTCATAAGAATGCAGAGTGTGTAATGTGATTGGAGAATGTGTCCCTCCACTGTTATCATATTGTTGCCTGTAATTTAAAACACAGGGGTTTTAAAGATACCTTCAGTAATTTAAAACACATTTTTAAATTAAAAAGTTTACCAATGTTAGATTCATTTATTTTTAAAGTCGTTATCAAGTTAATTATCAAGGAATACAGATTAGCAGCCCAATTAACAGACCAAAAATGTATGAAACTCATAAGACAATTACATTAAATCAGGTTACACTTTTCGCTGTGCTTGATTACTTTAACTGTTTTTTCTTTTTTTCCTATCGTCTGTCTTTTAATTTGTACTTTGTATGTATGTATGTTTCATATACAGCATATGATATTTTTAAGCTAGTGTGTCTGATTCACTTCTCTTAACATTATGGTCTAAAGGTGCAGACATTTTCCTGAAAATAACTCAGATTTGTTCTTTATATCAGAGTAGTGCTTCATGTGTGTAAATACCACATTTTCTTTATCCATTCATCCGTTGATGGACATGTAGGCTACTTCGAGGATTTAGCTGTGATGAGTTGTGCTGCTATAAATGTGTGTGTGTGTATGTGTGTGTGTGACTATAACATGATGTCTTTAACACCTAAAAGGGGGGGAATAGTTAGTTTTAGTTTTTGCTTTGTTTTGTTTTGTTTTTTGTCTTTTTCGTTTTTATCGGTACCAGGGATCGAACTCACGACTGCCTGCTTGCAAGGCAGGTGCTTATGCTGCTGAGCTAAATCACCAGCCCCAGTTTTAGTTTTTTGACAAATCTCCATAGTAATTTCCATAGTGGTTGTACCAGTTCACACTCTAACCACAATGAAGAGGAGTTCCTTTTTTCCTGCAGCCTCTCCAGGATTTGTTATTATTTGATTTCTTAAAAATAGCCTTTTTTTCCCTTGAAGTAAAATGGAACCTCAGTTCATAAAACAAAATGTTTTTTAAACATGTTGCTCAAAGCTGACAAGTAGGGGCTGGGGGTTTAGCTCAGCGGCATAAGCACCTGCCTTGCAAGCAGGCGGTCGTGAGTTCGATCCCTGGTACCGATAAAAAATGAAAAAAGACCAAAAAAAAAAAAAAAAAAAAAAAAAGCTGACAAGTAAAAATAATTTCACTGAGTGCTGTGATCCCTCTTGGAAACTGAGTGTAGTATAGGACTTGTGTAGTAAGTGACATGCTTACATGCATCAATTTTGTACCGAGGAGTGATTCAAAACCAAATTGGTAAAAAATCAGCTTACTGCCCTTTGGGGAAAAAAATCTGAAAATGCCATTCTTAGTCTGAAGTTGGTATGCTATATGAACTCAAATCTGAGAATGCCATTGTGGGAATGCTATTATCTTAAAAAGGGACAAAGAGGTTTTAGTTTTTTTAAAAAATAATGACAGTTCTAGGGGCATGATCTGGTGACAGAGCACCTTTCTGGCATGGATTACAGCACCAAAAAATATTACTACTATTACTGCTGCTGCTACTACTATCAAATAGGAAAGGTGAATGTTAGTTTATTGAAAATATAGTGATTAATTTCTAATATATTACATGAAATGGACAATACAAAAGTCCAAGTATGGACTCTATTGAATGGCTTAAAAACTATTTGGAAGAGAAGATATAAACCCAAAACAAATAAAAATGATAGACTAGTATTCAAATAATCATCTACACATATAAACATTTATAAGGTACCCTCGTGGGGAGGTAAAGTGTAGTTCAAAGTAGTCCACAACGAAGCCTTGATTTTTAGTGTGATTTGCTCCCTCAGCCTACTGTATGTTTCTAGTATTCCTTTCATCGGAACAAAAGTTATACAATTTCAAGTATCCTATGATACTGGAAACCATCTGAATTATTTTTTGTAGAGTTGAAGAATATTTGCAAGTGTTAAAAATTTGAAAAAATTATAAATGAATTGAAATGTTTGCTTGCGTATGGCATGCTTCACAAGCCACGGCAAATCATACTTACCTTATAAAGAGTGAAACCTGCACACCCGGTTCAAGTGAGCCACTCTGATTGGTGTGTTTCTGCCACGTGAAATGGTAGGAGGATGGCGTTTTTTATAAATGATAATGAAAAAGATAGATATGCAAGCCAAGTGGTTTCTGGTTGGTTTCCTCAATTGTGTGATAACTTTTAGCTGGTGTGCTAATCAAGTAAAGTTATTAAAGACTTGGTATTCTCTGTGTGTAGAGGGGGAATCAAAGGATTGCAAGGAATGCATTGAATAACGCACAGCTCTCATATGTGCAGACATTGTGCCCAGCAGGCACTGGAGCCTGTGTGTGAGTGGGCTGTTTGCATAGTGAAAAACCAAACAGCCGCCCCTCCCCTAGGCCCCCCCATTGACATGCATAGCTGGCCTGGTAGGTGTAAAAATAGCCTGGCAGGGCCTGAGCTGGAAATGGTCACTGAATGCGAATGCGGCCTGCAGTTGCTGGGGTTTTGGGCTCTCTCTGACACCCGCCAGCCAGCAGATGGGGAGGCCTGGGGGGTGTGTGAGGGGAGTAGAGCCCCGGAGCTCAGGTGCATCTGGATGAGTTGTCCACATTAGCGTCCCCCTCCAGGACCCCTGTACAGAGCACCGAGGGCAAGGCTGGGCCCACAGGCTGCAGAGACCGGCGAGCTGTGATGGGAAACACAGCTCTGTGCACCTCCTGCCACGCAGATAAGAGTGTCAGAGCCCGGGAACACATGCAGGAGCTGGACAAAACTCCAGACTGCTGTGGCGAGGACAGCGAGGATGCCAGAGGACCTGGGCCCCTGGTGAGTTGCAGGCCACACATGGAGGAAGGGAGGGTGTTGGCCTGAGAGTTGGTGTGGAGCTCATTGGTCAGATCACAGACAGAACCAAAAGACCAGGGCCACCTGACTGTCCTGGCCCAGGCTGTGCCTACCTGCAGCTCGTGTGCTACCATGTGCCGGCAGCAGCTCACTCGTCTAGCTGTGGAGTGACCTTTGAGATGAGTCATGCCACTGGCTCTTTAATTGGATGTTTTGTCCAAAGCTGAGCATACATATCGTCATTTTATAGAGTAACTTTCTGTAGTGTTAGTAGGTTTACATCAAGGTTGTGAAGTTCTCTGCTTATTATTGTATTCATGGAGAATCTGCTTTACATCAGACCACTGAGCACCTTCAAGTCCCAGTTCCTGCTCTTTGCAGAGGCATTTCATTTCACCCTAATATCTGCCTGACTGCACTGAGGCTTTTAAATACCACTCTGATTATGATAATAGCAGTTTGTGAAAAGCCTTAAAAGTTGAGCAATCAAGTATTTAAGTTGACTTTCAGATTTTAATAATTCATGGGCATGCTGTGTTCCTTAAAATGATTGCAAAGGCTTATTATATTTTTAAAAACATTCTGACCAGAACTGTCATTCAGATAGAGCTTAATTGTCGTACTTGCTGAAGGATAAAGTTTATCTTTCATTGCGCAGATCCAGGAACTTGACCTTGTTGCAAGTTATTTATGTCGGATTGAGACAGTGGTGCTAGGACAGGTGGGATTCCAGAGAAAAAAAAGCCAAGGGGTAAGCACCTGCTCCGTGCTTGCCTGGGGTTTCCAGGGGTGACAGGACTTTGTGAAACTTGGAAGGTGGCCTGCTGCTCTCTTGGGCTTTGATTGGGGTGAATTTCAACCCTAAAATTGTCAGATCATAGTGAGACTGAAACCCACTCAGGCGGTACGGACTCCATGCAGAGGACTGTGCACATGGCAGAGGGGAGGAGAAGGCCTGGGAGTGAACAAGGGGCCGGGACTTCTGGGACCAAAAGGGGAAGCAGAAAGGTGGAAGGGAAGTGTTCTCTGGGAAGAGAAGCATCCTGCCTTAGGGACTGTGTGTGTCTCTTTCTGGATCATAGTTTAAGTTACCCTCACCTATCAGGAGGTCCTCAGAGAATTTCTCATTGGAGAATTTCTCTGATGCCCCTGAACTGAGAGGGCGATGAGTGGAAAGAGTAGGGTACTCATACAGTCTTGTTACAGTGTATGGATTCCCACCTGTTGCAGTGCATAAATATATTCTCTAACAGCTGATTTCCTTGCTTAAAAGGAAGTTTAAAGTCTGTCTTTACAAGTAGCGAATGGAAGTGGTGAGATCTCTGAGTTACCTGGTTCCTTTAAGAGGAGCCCGTGACATACGATCTTAAGGCTCAAGGGATAGTACAAGAAATTCATTCAAGTTTCAAGTTTGGATAACTAAGAACTTGAATGTCCAATGGCAACGCCACTGCTTTGTTAAATTTTTCTATCTATAGTAATTTAGAAACTTGCCATAAAAGAAAGGAGTTGATTTTTAAAAATATATAATCTGACTTCTCTGAGTTCGTTAACAAATATACAGACTGTCGTTAACAGATTCTACAGACTGGCAGGTGGAGTGATTGTGTGGCTCATGCCTGGCAGGTGCGGGAACAGACCTGTTTGCACCTTGCAAAAGGCGATGTTGTGCTGAGTTGCTCCATTTTGGATGTGGTGCGGAGGTTAACATGTAACTTAGTATTGAAGATGACTTAAGCAAAACGAGTGTTTTTGTATAGCTTGCATTTCCCAAACTTAAGAATATCGATCATTTTTCTTTACCTTTACATCAGCACTGTCAGATGTGGAGTCACTCAGATACTTTTAAGCATTCATAGTAGTCACAGTTAATAATAAATAATTGTCAAGAACTCCATAGCTTTTAATTATTTTTTAGAGAGAAAAAACAAACAGACACTCCATTTTCCTTCTGGTAATAAATGTAGAATTGGTTTATAGAGCTTGTTATATTGTCGGACCAAAAGTTTCAAGTAAATAAAATTTCATTCAATAAACTAATAAAAATATAAATTTAACATGCTAAAGCTATGGTATTTTATACAAATCGGTACTTCCTTTCTGTAAGTTTTAGAGTTTTGAATATTCTGACTTTAATTGTACAGATTATAGCAGTGATAGATATATCATAAATTGTGTTAGAAATAACTAAATAAATATAATTTCTCCTTAAACAATGTTACTGAATTGCCTCTATCAGATGTTACATGTGGACTTTAAGAAAGTTAAACCAAATCAGACCAGAATAATTTGCATATGTATTATAACAAACTCAGGAATTATGCAAAAATAATTACAGAAATGAAACTGGCTATAAGTTTGACAGAATGGTAAATTTTAAATTTCAAAGGATTTATTTTCTTAAATTTCTAATGATAAAGATAAATAAGAAAAGGAACAAACACTTTAAAATTCTGTGACTGGAAAAATAGTATGCTATATTTTTCAGGTATGTATTTTACACAGACATGTTTAAATCCAGAGTAGTGTTTATCAAGCGTATTAGTAAAGGGACAGAGAAAGAATGTTCCAGAAGATGTGTTGTAGTGAACAAAATAGCTGTAAACAATATGCAAACAAATGGGTCTGGCATTATGTCTGTAATTACTAAATCTTTCTATTACTGAATTTTCAGTTGCTAAATTTTTCAATTATTTAAGCTAATAAATGATTTCAGTTACTCTTTTCTAGTTTGTAAAGAAGGAAATGAAAATAGTTACCATTGTGTCTATTAATTTAATAAAGATAAAACATTCAATCTTAGATGATAAAGTGTTGAGACTGATAAACATTTTCTTTTTTTAACTTTTTATTTTAAAGAGGGTAAAATTAAACACAACAAAACAGAATATAAGAAACCAATGTAAGACACACAAATTTCAAAGCGAGACAATCAGAGATCTTCACTATCTAGTGTATTGTCTCTTGTTTTCTTCCGAATAGTTGCCCATATATTCACGTACAGAGAATTCACACGAAACAACATAGTATAGAACTTACCTGAACAGAATGAGGAAGGTGTGTTAGGTCTTCAAGATCAGACAATGGGGAAGTCAACAGTGGCTGTCATAGTGTCTCTCTCATTCTCTTCAAAATAGCTGTCCATATCTTCATGTATGTTGAAATTATACAAAACAAAACAGACTAAAATCATTCTGAACAAAGAATAATAATATTGCTGGATTTCATATCACAATGCTACAGAATCAGCACTGAGTAGTGTAGTGTCTCTTTTTCTTCAAAGCAGTTCATTTCATCATGTGTTATATAATCAGTTCTCATAAACTGTTTATAGGTTCTATGCATGCATTAGTCTCTACATGTCTTTCTATCCTTTCTGTATTAGAGGGAAAAACAAAGCATAGCAAGACAAAACAAAACAAATTCCTATAAAAACATGAAATGAAAAAGTTATATAAAACCACAGTACAAGGTGATCTGGTTACTGTGTTGTCTCTTGGTATCTTCAATAGAATTGTCCATATCATCAGGCATAGTATAATGGAATATAACAGTACATAACAGTATTAATAAAAACAAAACATTGTAGACAGTGAAAAACTTCAAAAGCAGGTAATAATCAAACCAGAGTAGGCATCCTAGTGAATCTTGTCATCTTCAGTACAGTTGCCTATACTCTCAGACTTGATACTATCATTCATAACAGATTTGAATAAAATCTGTCAATACAAAATAGCAATCTAACAAACCAGATTCACCTAATATCAGTCATGATAAAACAGTGTAAGTTATACAGGGCTTCAGATTAAGTTAACAGGAAATTAAGGATGATTACCATACAATATCCTGCTATTTTTGGGATAGCAGTCCGTGCCCTCAAATCTAGTATACTAGACCATCTGGAACAGAATTTAATCCATCTAAACAGTGGTGTGAGCAATGTGGGTTTTAAATCGTGATACACTATTAACAATATCCTGTGCTTTCTTTTTTAAGACTCTGCCTCCCCTTTCACTTCCACAGAAGTTGGGTCCCACCAACTCCTTCAGTTTTTAGATTGCGGGGGGCAACCTGCTATTTACCTAAGTGGTTCTGAACCTTCTCACTCCTGGACTTGATCTCAAGTTGTATTCCTTTATCTACAAAAGCCTCAAGGTTTTCTTTCATTATAGCTGGGTAGTTCTTCACTGCACAAAAGTGTCATGACTTTCCAACCTATCTGCAGCTGCTGGATGAGCTGTCCCTATTTCTCTGTGGTTCTCTGTCACATAGAGCATTGTTTTCTCATCTTTGACTTTTGGTTCATTAACCCTCTTTCAGGTTGATTATGTTTCCTATTCAGAGCATCTCAATAGACCTTACCTCCTGATCTACTCTGCCTGTATTTCTTTTTATAGTATATCAAGGCCATCTATGTTAGTGATTATAGCCAACCTTCTCTGCCTCATTTCTGCTATGCTATTTTTCTGCCATTGATTGTCTGCTTTTCTCCTTCATTCCACTGCCTGCCCCGTTTATTGAGGCTTCTCTGCTACTGTTCCTGAAATCCTGGTATTTTTTTTTCTCTCTCTAGAATGTCCTTCAGTATTCTCTTTAGGATTGGATTGGTGGTCACAAATTCCCCCGGGTCTTATTATGGAAGCATCTTGTTTCTCTATTAATTTCTAGAGACAGTTTTTCAGGATACAACAATCTGGGGGTGGAGGTTATTTTCTTTCAGGACTTGAAATTCTTTGTTCCAAGCTCTTCTTGATTTGATGTTCTGTGTTGAGAAGTCTGCTGTGATTTTGATGGGTTTTCTCCTTTATAGGTTATCTGTTTCTTTTTTCTGATGGCTTTTAATTTTCTGTTCTTATATTGAATTTCTGAAATCTTGATTATTATATGTCTGGGTGTAGCTCTGTTTTGGTTGTAGGTGGCTGGAGTTCTGTATGCCTCATACATCTGAATATCATTTCCTTTTCCTATGCTTGGGAGGTCCA